GAACCCTAGCAAAATGGGCCAAGTGGGTTTGCTTGGCCCATGTTTTTTTCTTTTTATTATAAATTATGTTTTTTTTCTATTTTTTTTTAAATTAATGCTTTTTATATTATTTTTTTATAGTTAGATTAATACTCATTCCATCTTCCATTTTGTTTAGAGAGAGTATTATTATTTTTTGTTATGCATTTAAATTTCAAAAAAAAAATTTGATTCATCTATAATTTTTTTATATTTTGTATATATGAACTTTAATTTAAACAAAATCAAATAATATTTTTAATATGTACAGTATTGTATATTATTTTTTATTTTATTTTATTTAATCAATTTAATTTGTATATCTATTTTTATTACCATTTTCTTAAATAAAAAAATTATTTTAGTAAATAAATTTAGCATATAAAGCTAAGTAAATATCACGACTTGTAAAATTAAATATCTTTATTAATGTTCATTTCTTAATGTCTTAATTTTTATTTTTAACTATTGTTTATAGTTTTTTTATTTATTAATACACATAATTCTCAATTTATTTAATTACATATATACATAATTTTTTTTATTTTCAATTAAAAAATTTTAATTACAAAAACATGTTAAAAAAACCTATATTTATAATTTTTTATTTTAAAAAATATCTAACCTACAACAAATCACAGGTAAAGTATCAAGTCTGAATATATATTATGTGATGAATTTTATTACTAATTTGAACAATCTTCAATGTAATCAAAATTCAAGAATTACGAGGCAAAGGTCACCGAAGCCGGATGAGGCATGCATTCGTGACCGTTAAACTTTGGAGTAATAAGAGGGGTTTCCTATGACAAAAGGATCTAGAGGCCCAAAAATTAAATGTGGGCGAGTTTGAAACAGTAACAGTGATGTCGGCCATAACATGGGCCAAGCCCATAACAGCCTTGATAAATCTCGCACCGAATAAAAGTTCTTGATTTCATCATTATTTTCAGCCCAAAGTCCACCATATTAAAAAAGTATAAAGTTAACATATCTCCGACACCTTCTTTTATTTTTATATTTTAAAAGAATTTTTTTAAAATATATTTTTCTATTTTAAATTATTTTAATGTGTTAATATTAAAAATAATTTTTAAAAAATAAAAAATATTATTTTAATATATACAAAGTAAAAACCTTTTTTAAAATAACCATTAACACACTGGTAATTTCAGCTTCCACTTCCACCAAAAGATCGAGCCACGTAGAAATATCATTTTATGAATAAATCATCAAATTCTCGAAAGCATTTTTCACTCTATCATATGGCATCAGCTCAAAACCATTTGTATATTAGTGCATTACCATTTAATTTCGGCAACTTGTACTTTGGAACAAGTTTTTTTTTTTTCCAGTAAAAAAGCTTTATTACTGCAAAAGATAACAGCATGGCTGTCTTACAAAAAAAAACAAAGCTGAAAAGAGAAGCCAGACTGGTCTTCATGTAAGGCTGCAGGGGCCCTTGCTCTCAAGATTGCCTTGGATCATAGCAATGAACACGGCCATATAGAATGCAGTCCTAGACAAGGGCTACAAGTCCCATTAAACGGGACGAATCCATTAATATGGATCACAGCAGCCTACTGTGTGAAAAGAGGAAACAACCTTTCTATAGAAAAAAGGTACATGTTCTGATACAAGGCAGTTCGCAGTACAAAGAAGAACATGACAAATTTAAGATCAAATAGGGGCGGCTACAGAAGAAAAACATCTACTTAATGGTGATATAGCGATTTGTTCCATGTCTAGCCCAGTAATCCTTGAGATCAAGAGGGATAGAAAGATCATGACCTTCTGCTGCCAGCCGGCTAAGCAATCTTGTGAAGACATTACCGCTCATCTTCCGGCCACCAACTCGGGCACGTCGCTTATTTGGCATCTGTGGTAGTGGATATGATGACAAGGTGGTTGTGCAACAGGCTGACTGCCACCCACCACTACCCCATTTGTAGCATTGCCTGGGAACTCCAGTGCATGAACACACAGGTGCTGTCATGGTGGTCTCATCAAAATTGATGAGGTTTAAGCCCACATCCTGACTGTCCCACTCAACCTTAATTTTCTTCCCATCAGAAGCACCTTGCTTATTCAGATCCTCGCTCACTCTATTCCCCTTCCATGGTGACTTGGCTGCCTTCAATCCAACTGCCTTATTTTCCTTTGATCGCTTTGTCTGGCGTGACTTTGCATTTTCAGCAGGAACAGATGATAGAGGCAAGGCATTGGTGACGTGCATTTCCCCCGAGTCTAGAGCTTCTGACATGTCACTTGAGTGGTAAACTGGATGGGGTATGCGCTTTGATCCTCTTTGGCTTCCACCACTCAAAGGATAGTTCATTGCATTTTCCCGGCATTGAATTGATGCTAGAGCATTGTCTCGCTCCATCAGGGCTTTATCCCGTTCAACTAGGGCCTTCTCTCGCTGCTGGATTGCTTCATCTCGCGCGGCCAAGGCTTCCTTCTTTTCAGCTAGTGCCAAATTCCGTTCTCGAATGGCATCATCCCTCTCAATGAGGATGGTCATTATCTTCTTATTCATCACTAAGGCATTAGTTTGCTCCTTCATTTGATTTCGAGGCATCATATTCCACTGCAAATTACATTAAGTCTTAAGCTTATATTCATCTGAAATTTCATGGCAAAACAATCAGAAAAATCTACATGGATCTGAGGCAAATATCTTCTTACCGGAGGGTGAGGGTGAGCTGTCTTGTAATAGTCTATCTTATACCTTCCATTTTGATGTTGCCCGCCATCCTCCATCTTGAACCCACTTAAATATCAGTTAAGCATGAATCAGTCTCAACCTACCACTCACTGTTGAATGTTTAGTTTGGGCATCCACTAAGTTTCCAGGAAGAGAATATATCTCCTATTTTGGAAAAAAAAAAAAAAACCAAAAGTAAGATTTCAAGTCTTCTACAAATTGCACCGAGAAAAAAAAGAAGAAAGGACCGCACCAAAGTAACAAAGAAATGCCAAAAAGTAAAACACCACAAGGCTTCTTCAAAAAGACCAAAAAAAACTAACAAAAAGCTTTGAAAGCAGTTAGCTCTAGATAAGTGATAAAAAAAATCCAAATAAATCAACCATTATCCAACTCTACACACACGGACACACATTCAAATCAGGTATCACAGATAGAAGTGCCACCATAAATCCAGTTCCACCAAGACTGCTAAGCATTTCAAAACACCACAAGAACAACTACAAATAGCCCATTCTCCAGCTCAATGCAGCATTGAGATAAAAAGTTCAGGGTGTATAGTGTAAACCGTATTTCCCGCAATATCCACAAACAGACGAGCAATAGCCATTCTTACCACAAAGATCCTACATTAGTAAACAGCAATCTAACAATAACAAGCAGTGACTTGATCAACGTCGAACTCTTGACACTCGAAAGAAAACATCAAATACTTGCAGTTCCTCCTTACGAGAAAAAAACACAAAACCCATGTCATCTCCGCACTCATCTTACAATAATTTTCTTAATTAAAAAACTTTCTTCGCCGGAAACCTTAGACCTATCACTAAAAAAAAAGAAGAAAAAATATAGCCCTCGAATAGGAGGAAAACATCAAGCTTCAAACATACCTGATTCGAGAAAACAAACCTCAATAGCTTTAGCAGCTGAAAAGAATAACTCAAAATCTAACAACAACCCATTATTAATCTAAGCAAAAAAAAGTAACTTAATTTAAGTAAAGTAACAAACTTTTCAATGGACAAGTTCAAATTTGAAAAAATCTTGGTATAAAAATAGGGTTTTTAAGCCAGAGATGAATGTCAAGATCAGGAACATACAGCATACAAAACCTCATAGAATGAATGATGAAGTTAAAGAGAGACACAGATCAAAGAATAAATTTATGAACTTACTGATTTATGTTATCGAAGAAGTTACATAGATTTTGAAGAGAGAGTTTCCTCTCTGGCTTGAGATAGAGGGAGAGAGGGAGGGAGATAGCCGATGGTGTTAATGTGGTGAATTTTAGAGAACCGAGATGGCCACGGGTTTCTCTCGCGCTCTCACGGCGAAAACTGTCGTTTTTAGCGTTTGCTTTATGTCGTTTCAGTACAGTTCAGAGGATAAAACGCCAATTATGTAATTCACTTTTTTTTATCAGCTCACGCAACTTGCTTACAAAACGTTCTTATTGAAGTGAATATTGTTTCATAATTAATAATAATAATAATAATAGTATCAAATGTAACAAAATGTAAATCACCCTTATTTAAAAAGGAATTATCCTGGATATAATAATTTTAACGAGATGTTTTAAGATAATAATAATTTTTAAAATATGTTTTATTTAAAATATATTAAAATAATATTTATTTATTTATTTATTTAATATCAATTCATTAAAATAATTTGAAAACTCAAAAAATAATTAATTTAAAATAAAAAATAATTTTTTTAAAACACTTTTAAAATACAAAAACAAATGAATTCTTAGTAAAATAATATTATAAATATTAAATATTTATAATATATGATATTAAATATTTGAAGAGTTTAAATTATGATTTGCCGAGACATATATAATATTTACTAACTTCCTATTATGACTTGTATGGTTGAAAAATAAAGTTATATATATTTAGATATAATCTTCTAATTTTTTTATATTATTTTTTAAAAATATAAAAAAAATCTATTTTAATATCAGCTATTCATAAATTTCAATGAAATAAAATTTTTTTTATTAACACTATTTTAATTTCTACAGTAAAATATTGGAGTAAGAGTATCGAACTATGAATTGCATAGCTTCAACCCTCTTTTTTTCCCTTACAAACTCTTCTCAAATGGTTTTTTATTAAATTTTATATAATAAAGGAATGAAAATTTTATAGATTTTTTTCTAAAAATATATATCTTATAGATTTTTTTTTATTTTTTTTGTAGAATCACAGGGTTGAAATTACCTTGAAAATGATTTCGTAAAGAATATAAAGCTAAAACCAATAAATATTATAAATGACTTTGGACGGTCCTCGTGAATAGGTCACGGACGAGTGCTTTTACTACCGTGTCAGTCTCGCATCGATTTCTCTTGAACAACGTGATTCCTTAAACTCCCGATTTAACTACCGATTCTCTGTTTTGGTCAGATTAATGGTTCACAACTCGTAAAGCTGAGTTCTTTAATCTGGGTTTCTGTTAAAAAATGGAACTTGGGCTTGTGGAGTTGTTGAGAGCAGCTTGGATTGCAGGGACACTGCCTATACTTATAGCTTCACTGCCATGTTCTTGGCTGGGTTCTTTTCATGGACTTGTTTTGGGGTTTGCAAGGAGAGGAAAGATCATGAAATCATCATCTCATCACGTAAGTTCTGAGATTTCCCTGTTTCCTTGAATTCTATGATTTGTTTAACCTCTGTGAGATAGATTTGCTGGGTTTAGTTTGGTCGGGTCGTTTTCTTACGTTTTACTGGTAATATAAAGATAATTACTGTTTAGGTAGTCTCCGTTGCATGTTTTCCCCTTCTAATGCACTGAAAAATAATACAGAAACCCATTTTAAGATGAACGTGGATTGAATTTAATGATAGCTTGTAGATTATCGAGGTTCGTAATGACTGGTTAGAAATTGATTCATCAAAGTTTCTAATTTACTGTTTTTTGGTTTGTAGAAATTCACTGTTCCTCAAAGATTCTTTTCTCATTTCTATGTGGTGGCTGTGGTGTGGACTACTCTCTTGCTTATTGCAACATGGATTTATGCACGTAGAATGGCACCGATTGTTTCTGAGCCGTTTTTCTACTCTGATTTAGTCAGCTACTTGGCAGGACGTTCGAACACCTTTTCATTTCATCGATCACAGTTGATTAATTCAGAGAATAAATTCAGGGTTTGGCTTTCTGTGTTTCTGCTCCTGTTAATGGAAGTTCAAGTCTTGAGGCGTCTTTTTGAGACGTTATATGTATTTAAATACAGACCCTCAGCTCGGATGCACATTTTCGGCTATCTAACTGGTCTTTTGTGAGTTTCTTGAAGGCCTCTGATCCAGTTCTTTTGCTGCAGCCTTTCTGCCCATGACATGCACACACAATGTCAAATTGCTGTTGGAAACATTTTTTTCCTCAAATATTTTATACTGGATTCGTGCTGGTTAATATGCTTTCTACCATATTGCCAAACAGCCTTGTGAACAAACGCCATAATCCATGTTTGTGATCAAAGCACTTTCCAGTACAATCTGTTTCTTCCTTTTGGTTTACCATGAATTTGTTATACATAAAGGCATGTTCTAAAATGTTGTATTGGTTTATATTTTCCTTCTGAGCTTAGTTTCTACACAGCAATGCCCCTGACACTCTGCTGTACTTGTGCGCCTAATGTATTCAAATTTTGCACAAGTGAAGTGATGGAGTTCATTGTTAAAGACAGAAGCTCAATGCAAGCCATTGAATTTGATTGGTGGGACCTTGTTAATCTTTTTTCGAAGCTTGGATGGTGCCAATGGATTGGTGCAGCTATATTTCTTTGGGGTTGGATTCATCAGCATCGTTGCCATGCAATTCTTGTGAGTATCACTGTTTCATGATCAGTCACTAGTCAGATGGCAATATCACTTCTCTTAAAAGAAAAAAGGAAAGCAAATTAATTGCTTACTTTTCCGGCAGAAGTTGTCAAAAATGTTATGCCTGTAGCTATATTATGACCAAGGTGAGGTTCTAAACTGGTGGTTAATAGCTATAAGTTAATTAAAAATGAATGAAGATATAGTTGACACTGGACAGGATACTTCTCCTTGCTTTGGATGGGAAAGTTGGAATGTTTATAACTCATCTATTCAAGAATTATTACCTTGTAAACATGAGTAACTAATCGATACCATAAAAGCTTAATTCTGATAGGTTGGTAGTTACAGCTACCAAAAAGAAGTTTGTGGAAATCAGATGGTCTTCCGTGAAATGAGGTCAAACAACTATATGTTTTCAGCTGGGGGTCACTTCCTTTCTGATGTTCGTATGGGATATGTGATTCAGTTATTGGTAGTGTGTGTTGCTGTTGTCGTGGTGATACCAAAGCTTGAAACGTGGTTGAGTGGTTTGAGTTGCAAATCCAAACCAAATGGCCAAGGAGCTTTGGATATTGGTATTGTACCTGTGAACAAGTCTAGTTGTATGATGAAACATGTTGGTTTCCTGAATGTTCTACCACTTATCTCTATTGATGCACTGTGGAACTCATTTGACTTGATGCACTGTTTGACTGCTCCTATGAATATCTGACTTTACAGTCAGCCATGAGAATGAGCTAATAGAAAACATTTTGTCTGCATGTGCAGGCCCTGAACTCTATTCTCTGTTTTTATAATCCTGTTTATCAAATCAACTTGTTTCAAATATCATCATAAATTGGGTGATATCAGTCTACCAGGCACCCATCAATGTCCAGCTATCTTTACTTCTTTTTTTTTTTTTTTGAGGAAAAGGGAGGCCAAGTTGTTGCAAAATTAAGAGACTAGCATGCATTCTCACCTTCACTATCATGATGGTTAATTAGGGCTCACTAAGGGAACATGTGGGAAAGGTTGATGAATATGTAATACCCTGTGGTGATTGGTTCGAGATTGTTTCATCTCCACACTATTTGGCAGAGATTGTACGTTTCTCATTTGTGATTTACACACAGTAATTGAGTGAAATTGAGGTGCAGAGGGCTCACACTTCATGTTTATGCTAATGATACAGGTTATATATGCTGGCGTGGTTTTTGGTAGTGGAGGGGCAGACCTCACCATTTGGTTGCTTTTCGGATTTGTGGTATCTTCCTCTTTACAAGATGCCTCTCGTTTTTCCCTCATTGTGGCTTTCCTTATGTTCTATGAGAGCTGAAAGTTTGTGTAATGTGTTGGATGCAGGTATCAAATCTGATATTTGCAGCTGCAGAAACACATAGGTGGTATCTTCAGAAATTTGACAATTATCCAAGCAACCGTGTTGCAATTATTCCATTTGTATGTTAAAATTTCAAAGAACACGTTTCCCATTGTTGCATGCTGTTGCCATCATGGCTACCACAAATTCTTGACATGTGATGAGAAAATTTTCCTAGAGAATCAAATTAGTTTGATTGGTGAGTTTTTGCATCACTTGAAAGACGGGGTTATGGTGAGTGTTCATGGGATGCCTAGATGTCCTTACAGAAGCGATTGAATTCTATTTGATTGTGTTTTTCCTGTAAGCTGCTGACATCTCGTCCAATTCGATGGTGCAAGGACTAAAAAATTGAGCAAATTGATTTCCTGATCTGTTCATTCGAATTGGTGCTCGACAATAATTTGATAGAACCACTCATGAAGTGAATCAAGCAGGCTGTAAAGGAAGGGGTCATGTAAGTATATGCTATGAATCAACCCTTGACCACGATGTCAACCACGGCTTCACAAAACCAAGTACAGTAAGGAAAATATCCGGACTGCTATTATTCTGAGCAGGACACAAGGGAACGTTTTCCAAGGATATAATCATGGACATGATTAAGCAGACAAATTTATCCCCAAAAACTTGGCAGGTTGGTTGGTCCTGTAGCTTCTGTCCAGCTCTTTCAGCAGGTCCACATCCTCTCTGGATAATTCAAAGTCGAAAAACACAATGATTTTCCTTCAGTCTCTCGATCTTTGATGTCTTCGGGATGACGACCGTGTTTCGTTTGATGCCTACCGGAGAACAATCCAGGCCATGGTTTTCTTATATTTTTCTTCCAGACCCTGATCAAAAAAACAAAAACAGAGATGATAAGACTGTTGATGAAAAGCACCACAGAGGAATATTTTCTTCTGAGGTATTGATAATCAGACGGCAGATAATCCACCCGAAAAGAAATAACATACCTTCAGAACAGGATCATCCAAACATGATAAAGAGCCAAACAATTCAGTATTGGCTACAGAACCTCAAAGAGCAGTATGAGCCATCACACAGATGCCCTGCTTCTGACAGAATTTGACAAGCGAATCACACTGGAAGTAGGGGTGAGTTTCAATCTGATTCACAGCAGGCTTCACTTTCGAGTAGGCTAAGCAATCTCTAGTTAGAAAGATGTCATAGTTGCTGCAGTGGAATCTTTGTATCGGAACACAATTCTATAGCAGCCATATGAACAAATTCAATTTTTAGACATATCCATGCGAATGATTAGGATACCACCTGCAAGTGCTGCACCACAGATCCAGTCCGTAATTAAGTTTCGATTAATGTGATTCAAGCAGACGCGACAACAAGAATGGTTATATTCAAAATAAGGTTCCAGGTTATGGGTATCCAGCTCTCCATGATTTTTTTTTTTTTTTGATGAATTGTATCCATAGGTTAGCCTTTTAGGCTGTGTCAACTCACCTGATTCCAATGCTGCGAATTAAGATCATGGAAACCAGATCTTCCATGGCCCTGCTAGGTGGTTTCCATGGATATGATTGTGTCAATGTCCAGCACTCCATCCTCATCCATTGCACTGCTAGTCGTACCCACTCCTGTGTGCATGCAAATTTGTCAAACTGCTAATCACCTAAACATAAGGTTTTCCTCCTGGTGCAAATTTCATTGACTCATGACAGCAGTAGAAAATTGTGAATGGGGCGTACAAGAAGAGAGCTAAATGGAAAACACAGTTTCCACCGAACTTCCAAGTATCTAATGTCACTAATTGATCCCACTTTATATATCCTAGCATGCATCTATTGTTATTCTATTGATTAAAAATAGCTCATTGAAATTTTGTGATCATGCAATTAAGATATATAGTAGATATAAGCCCTTAACATGATGGGAAAATTGTTCTCAGAAAGCAAATCAGTTTCATTTCCAAGCTTTTTATTTCACGTTGTCTGAATAAATTAAGATTTTGATGAAAATATAAGAGATGCCCTTTATAAATCGGTGGAATTCAACTTGATCCTGCTGTTGTTATCAGCAACTTAATCATGTGATTTAGTTGGATGATTAGTGAACACTTGGTAGTTTTTATTTATAAAGTGCCTTTTCTTTAAAAATAAAATATTAAATTTACTGTACTGATTTTAAACATAATGTATCAAAACCAGTAACTTCAACTAGATAGCAAATAAATATGCTTGAAAATAAAAAAATCATATCACGAATGCAATTGCCTCAAGTGTACATTGCTTGCTTAAAATTCATAGGAAGAGATTATAATCTTACACTAAAAAGAGGGAGGGAGAGGGGGAGAGGTAATTGTAGAACAAGATTAAATCAGTAACTTGGAAACGTGGAATGTAGTTAATAAAGAGCCAATACAAATATAAATATGTGTATTATTTGCAGTACGCGGAGAAACATTGCACAACTTGGGCATACAAATCTACTCTCCAGAATTTGGCAGGGTGGTTGTTGCTCCTGTGTTTCCTGTCCAGCTTTTTAATCAGGTCCATGCCATCCTCAGTTAACTCGAAGTCAAGGGCTTCAAGATTCTCTTTCAGTCTCTCAATCTTCGATGACTAGGGCATGACAACAGTCTTTCGTTGAGTGCCCCATCGGAGAACAATCTGGGCAACTCCTGTATTGTATTTCACGGCGAGGAAAAGATGACAATTGCTGCCAACACAGCATAAAATGAGATACCAGCCACCAAGACAGATCCTTTTTTTTTTTTCCAAGAAATGAGCTAGGAAAACATCTATGATTAAAGTAGACCTTGGTGGTAACAAAAAGATCCTCCCTCTTGACAAATCCGGTTTTTATAGCTTCAGCAAGTGCCTCCCCTGCTTCTGCTTCACTCTTATAATTAAGTGGCTGCAAAGAAACACATTAACTGATCAAATCCTACTTGCCTGCTAACACCTTAAAGCATAAGAATGTCTAGCAATTAGCAATACCTGTTCAAGTTGAAACAAGAAATTCTTTTGGAGAGAATTTTCTACTGTTTAGTGTAATAGTTGCCATAATTTTCTACCCTCCCTCAACTTTCCTCGTCCAGAGGCTCCTCAAATTGACTGCAGCTGTCCCTGCTCGTGGAAGATATAGCTTTTAAATAGCAGAAATGTTTTTGGTGGCCATATCTGAATTCGACAAATAATTTTACCCTGTTCATCCTCCATCAACTTTCTTTTTTTCCCTTGAATAGTTCATCATCATGGACCTTATTTGTTTCTTTCTGGTAAAACTTCACCTGAACTGCTTTCCGAGGTTATGTTTCCCAAGCTACAACTCAACCCTACATATAAACCCAGTCTCAGTTCACTCACCAACTACAACTTTGTTTCTTTTCAAGTATTTTTTGGATCACCGACTACACTTTAATTTGCTGGGTTCTGAAGATTTTTTTCTGTGTTTGGTTTAGTGGAAAGCGCAATAAACTTCAGACTAAACTGAGATTAAGGAAGTGTTGTCCTACACGAAGAAATCGAAGTCAATTAGACTCGAATATTATTTCACTAAAAAAAATTATATCCAATACATGACCGTTAGGCCAGGCCAGACTATCTATATTTAATGATATCTTCTTTTTATAAACTAAACTTATAAGAAGACACAAACATAAAGAGGCAAGCAAATTCTGTTTTTTATTAATTAGTGGTAATAGTTGTTTTTAAAAATATTTAAAATAATATTTTTTTTATTTTAAAAAATTTAATTTTAATATCAACCTATTAAAATAATAAAAAATATTAAAAATAATTAATCTGAAGAAAATTTTTTAAGAAGCGTGGCCAGGCCGCAATAAACACTTCTGAAATTATTAGATTGAACTTAAACTTAAACAAATATTGGGGACTGATTTGTAGTTCCCTCCACTTTCTTTAATGGATCCACCAAAATTGGCCCATGCTACACCATTAAAAGCCCAAGGCTGTTTATTTTTTATAACAAGCCCAATCCAATAGATAAGATTGGGCTTCATTTGATCGATGCTTGGTTTTAAAACGCCGACATTTTATGTACTTTTATTCATTTATTGCCTTCGTCTCGCTCGTTTTTTTCTCTAGCGAAGCACAGAGCAGAGAGATCCAAGAAATTTTCAACTCGAAGAATCTCTGTTCATTTCAGATCTAAACGACACCGTCTCAGATTCAGTAATCAATCATGTCTACTTTCAGCGGTGACGAAACTGCTCCGTTCTTCGGCTTCCTTGGCGCCGCTGCTGCCCTGGTCTTCTCATGTAAACAATTGCATATCTTCCTTCTGCTTCTATTCCATTTTTTAAATATTTTGTTATTTATTTGCTTTAATTTTCATGTCCTTGATCGGTTCCCGAGAAATTGAATTGCTAGGTTTATGGTTATCAGATCGATCTTGATGCAATTATACGAGTCTCAAGTGATTTAATTTTAGTTTGATATTATATCAGCTGCAATTATTCGTTAAATTTGAAGATTAGCGGTTGTTTATCCGTAATTAATAAATGGTATTGATTTTAATATTTTTTAATGACCCGGGAAAACACGTGCTTGATTTAAATTTTGATTCGATAAGCTTTATATTCCAGAACCATTTTGCTTAATCAATATTAGATTTTTGACTAGTTACTTGGATCTGGGGAACTTTTGAACCGATCCATGTGTTTTGTTTGTTTGGAGTAAATATTGGGGTTTTGGTGTTTGTATAGGCATGGGAGCAGCGTATGGAACAGCTAAGAGTGGAGTTGGTGTGGCGTCGATGGGAGTGATGAGGCCTGAGTTGGTGATGAAGTCGATTGTTCCAGTTGTTATGGCTTGTGTGTTGGGTATTTATGGGTTGATTATTGCGGTTATTATTAGTACTGGAATTAACCCAAAGGCCAAGTCTTACTACCTTTTTGATGGGTATGCACATCTCTCGTCTGGCCTTGCTTGTGGCCTTGCTGGGCTTTCTGCTGGGATGGCCATTGGCATTGTTGGTGATGCTGGTGTCAGGTATGTTAGCCATCTTTTTTGTCTAGAAGATATGCTACAGCGTTTGATTTTTGTTGTTAACTAATAAAGTGTTGGTATGGTTAATGTGTCTCAACCTGTATTTATTTTTGGCAAGCGTGGTACATTGTTATTTAGTTTTGTAGTTGGGGAGCTGTCCTGATCGTCAGTTTTTTAACTTATGATCTGGGTGCAACTTTTATCCCCTTGATATGATGCAGTGGTTCTTAAGTCTTTGAGATTTGTTGTCTGGTTTTGCTGTGCAAACTTTACAATGTCTGGATGTTTTCTGTAAATTTAAGACCATGAGAATTCTTGGATGAGACTGCATGGTACTTGCACAGGCAAATTTTTCCTTTCTTGTGTAATATCTCTTGTACTTGCAAGATTGCTGTTTAGGGAGAATAATCGTTTGATTTGCAATCCATTCTCATACGTTTTGCTGTTTTTTTCACAGAGCTAATGCTCAACAGCCTAAACTTTTTGTTGGAATGATCCTTATCCTCATCTTTGCTGAAGCGTTGGCGCTGTATGGCCTTATTGTTGGCATCATCTTGTCATCCCGTGCTGGCCAGTCCAGGGCAGAATAAGAAGGGTGATAGCTAACTACGGTTATTCTTTTATAGCTTGTCAGTCACTTAGGAGAAAGAACTGTGGTTTGCAGGTTATTGAGGGTTGGGCAGCACTTTCAGCATCCTCAAATATCTTCTCATGGATGTGTCTGCTCTGCCAAGCATTTGGTGGTTTCGTTGTGCTGTTTGCAGGAGTAGGATTCCGATTTATCCGCAAAATAAAAGCTTTTCAAGCTCGCCATGTTGGGTTCTGTCTATGATGTATTTTGCAGACCATAAAAGTGTTATACAAACTTCAAATCTTGACCGTTGCACCTGTGATCATATTATTTATTGAAGTCTTATTTTACAACTTAAAAGTTTGGTTGCCTGCTAACCTAGTGTGTGCTTACATAACTTCACTCTTCTTCTCCACGGAATGAGAGGCTCGAGGCAGTATTTTTTCCCTACGATAATTCTCATTATTGACAGGTTTTGAGACAGGAAGTTTCTCGATATGATACAACACGTTAATGGCTTAATGCTGAGTTATATTGGCATGTCATATCACTGTTAACTTTGCAAGAGTAGATGTGATCTGTTGTGCAATTGGATGCTTCGTGGAAATTTCTCATGGGAAAGTTCATTCGTGTCAGGATCAAGCCGTCAACTTTTGACAGGACAAAACCTGTGCACGTGATGTTATACCCAACATGTTCCCAAATTGTTGTTCGGTGCAATGGGCTAATGCCAGTAAAAGATCTCATCTGTAAACAAAATACGTGCAAATGCAATCTGAAAAACAATCATTTAAAGGAAATGTGCATCCAAGTAGGGAGTTGATAGCACAGACTCAAATGGTGGTCATGCTGGTTTTGGAGCCCATTGCCGTAGCAATCTTTGATTCTCATGCTCACTGAAAATCGAAGCTGCTAGCAAACAACCAGAGATTGTTAATTATACAGCTAAATTGCCCCCTCAATAGAAAACTGTATGATAAACAATTGGGCTCAAGTGAATGGAAATTCTTCTATTCCTTGAGATTCGATTTTACATTAGAGGCCCAATATATACTCAAGAGATTGAACTACCCAGCTCGGGAAGTAAAACGACCCAACCTATCCACATGACGAGCCCAAAAACCCCCAACAGTAACCAGGTTCGGCAGGGAGGATTTGAATGCAGAAGGATCCCACGTCGGATGTCAAATGCACTAGTTACCGGTCATTTACAGTACCTTTAAAAACACGTTAAAGGTAAAACCTTAACAACATTAACCAGCAGTTTCATGTCCTTCGAAAAGTCCAACTATTGAGAATTCACATAAAAACGTGTAATACGAGGCTTTGACTGAAGCCGAAGACATTATGTATTGTACTCCTAGTAAAGACTTCGAAACTGTTGCCTTCAAAGAACCTGTATTAGTGACTTGTGCAAGAACCCTAGAGTCAGAACGCGTTTATGTGCTGATATCATATGCATATCAAAACAATGCGAACGACATTTATTTGGGGAGGGAAGTTTCCAACATAAACAAAACTGTGCTTTCACAAGTTTGTTTTGAGGCTTGGATCAACGTAAATTTGGGGCAGATAAGGATTAACAGTCACTGCTACATCGGGCCCGCGATCACCAGCCTGTGTTTTAAATACGGCTCGGGAGGGACCTCTCCCCTTCCAAATAACTGGCGAGAAAAACGTCCATGTTTTTTTTATAAAACAAAATTGGATTTTCATGTATATTGTTGTTATTTATCTTTAAATATTCATACAAAATAAACCATCAAATTAATGGTACATATTACAAACAGGAAGAACCGAATAGATGAACTTCACATTACGCCAGCCATTAAATATTTAAATTAAAAAAAAAAAAAAAAAACGTAATCGGATTAGATGTTTCAGGATGGATAACATTAATTTTTATTTCATGGTTTTCCTTTAACACTTTTTTTATTTTTTAGGAAGAAAAAATGCTCTGTTCTTCTCTTGGGTGGACAAATAAAGAATGATCCAGAAGTCGTTTGTGGCTGAGAAATATCGGAAGAGGCACATGGTTCTTTTTCAAGGATTATGCACTTGCCCGCCTCAGGATTAATCTTGGTTTGGAAAGATCCAACGGAAGATGCATAGCGTTAACCTTTCAAATGATTGGGTTTTGATTAGATTATTCTATCTAGATTGAAAGTGCCCTTTAAAATTTTTTATCAACCTAGGAAAAGTGAGGTGAAGATGCCTAATGCATGAATACGACATGGGCGTCTCAAGCTATGAGATGTTATGGTTTTTCCAATCCATCTCATGAAAATGGTTAAGTATTTCTCGTTTGCTTGAGACAAGTTTTGATTTTTCATGAAAAAGACGAGTATATTTTTATTGATGAAAAAAAAACGATTGTGGGACTAGATGGTGATAAACTAACAGTTAATTTGATTTTTGAATCTGTGTTAGATTGTTCAATACTAGGGAAGAAATTAAACTCGGAATCTAACCTAACCTAGAGGAATCAAAAGAAATTAATCTGTGTTAGATTGTTAAGTATCTCTCTTCTATAAAATATGTGATATTCTGGGTACTAAATATCGTGTAAGAAGACACTAACCTAAAGGTTTCTGCTGGTAATCACTATACCTGCACTTTTTGTTGGTTGCATTTTTCCTACCTCTTTGTTACAAGCACTTTTTTCAGAGTAAGAGACGGCCTTTTTTTAAACTTGGTTAGATATATAAAGAACGACCCAGGGGTGGTTTGTGGTTGAGAAAATAGCGAAAGAGGCACCGATCCCTTTTCAAGGATTGTTTACTATTACTTCAACACCACCGAAAAGGGAAAAAGGATGCACTTGCCCCACTTAATTTGTAAGGAGCCGAAGGAAAACTTGTAGATGCGCATCGTAAGCCCTCTAAATGAATGGTGCAATAAAATTTTGATTAAATTAATGTTTTCAGATTAAAAGTCCCACATAAAAAAGAATTAATGCGTGATCACGACTGGAGCATATCATTTTGTGATCAAGGCTTGTGGATATGGCGCAAAGGCTTTCTAGTTTAGCACTCGAGATTCGTATGATTTAGCAAACGTCAGGTTTGAGAAAATCAAAGCTCGAGTTACTGATGAATCGGCAAAGAGGGATAAGCTATAATAACTTATCTTACCGCAAGATGGAGGCAGCATCTTTCAAGAAGTCATGTTCTTGAAGTAGGTTACCAGAAAAAATTAGGTAATGTTTTTGTAAGCTAGTGAAGTTCGAGCTCCTTAATGCCATTCCAGCTCCATCTCCTTTCGGCTTTTGCACATGAAAGTGGAACCCTCTGTTTTCAGCGCAGGGTCCTTGGTAGTTACATACACATGCTTTTGTTTACTAGACACCAACGTTAGCAACCAAATTTCTCGATGTCCTTTATTGCTCGACTAGAATCTTTATTGGATTCTGCGTATGAAGAACAGATTATTAGAGTATAATTAATTAGTGAATCGAAGGGGACGAAAGACCTAAATATACATGTCAGATGACGACCTCCATGTACCCCTTTTCGAATAAAATACAGACCCTTTTCTTCGTGCATAGAACAAGTCCAAGCTTTTGCTTACCTCGTTTTAGATCTATCAAATTCCAGTTTTGAACAAATTTTCAATTTTTTTTATTTATTAATATAAGTGTCCGGATAGCATAGGATACTATTTACGTAATCATGTAAATTTTTAATAATTTTAAAATTTATAGAATATAAATTAATAATCTCTAAACTTAAATTCTTATAAAATTATTAAGAACGCGTAGGGCAGGTAGTGAATTGCGCGAGGACTGTGACGTTGGAAACCATTTCTGCCTCTTTTCTGGAACATGCATCTGGTATGAAACAAGGAGGTTGAAGGGATAACATTCCTTTAAGAGCTGAGATAATTTCAGTGCTCTTTTTTTCACGTGATTTGCGAAGGTTTTTGGCTTCTTTCTTGTAAAGTCCCTTTAATTTGTGGTCCAGATTAGGTCACAGGATCATGCCACGAAGAAATGCAATTTGCAAATGGACTGTATGCCCTAAGATCCTGAGATCAAGCTTATATCATCAAGCTTTTTTACTCTTAATCAAGTTTTACACGCTTCTCGGTTTCAGCAACAGAAGTTCTAAGCAGGCTTTGTGAGATTCAAGGGCCGGGATAATCATGCATGGCGTCCCTTCGGGCTATCCATAAAATTGAAGCCATGCCACAGAAGGACGACAAGTTTTGTTCTTTTATATATCCATTCAATAATTTAATTGCAAAAGAATTAATTAATTTGTATTCTTTGATAATCACTTTCAACCAATCAAGGTTGAAATTACATAACATCTAGCTAATTGTCCACCGCTGTGCTGGTGGCTTGTATTCTTTTATTGTTTTAAAAAATTATATTTCTTCAATCAGATCAATTACACAGTGCGCGATCTTTCGACGATGCTTACAAATACTTAATTTTCGTGATTTTTTTATATTTAGTTGTCTAATCCTACTCTCTGATTGATGATGCTGGACAATATCCCAGGTAGAATACTAGGACGCTTTTTATACGCTCATAAAACTGGATTTAGAAAACTTTATGTTCCAGTGATATTAAAAAAAAATACTCTTATACTTAATTTAGTATATTATTTGTATAAGTGCCGGAAGAATAGAATGTATTTGTGTATAAAAAAAAGAATAAACAGTATGCTCTAGACTTCAATGTTCTATACCTTCTTTGTTAGACTTGTATCAAGTATTGTGTTGTCTCGAAAGATGATGAGTTATGCTCTTATATGCTTCTAAATAGATTTGTTTATATTAATTTTTTCAACATAAATATTTTAAGAAATATTTCAGTTTTAAAATATTTTATATAAATATCTCTTAAATATTTAAATTATAAAATATTTTTAAAGATATATATATAATATAAAATACCATAATCTTTTTATATATCATTAGAACCCTCAGTTCACCTTTTACGTATACAAGTACTTATAAAAGTAGTTTATAGGTGTAGGTGTAGCCATTGGTATACCCATGTGGGGCATAGTCATGAGCTTAATCACCATTATAACCATGTGAGCATAGTTGTAAGCCTAGCCACTGGCATGCTATTGGCATAGCTATAGATATAATATCTGGTGCTGGCAAAGCCACTATTGCATTGGAGTTTCTTCTGACATAAAAAGAGGTATTAAAAAAGAAAAATGAACTGGTTTTTTATTCAGTTCTCACGTATGGTATCAATGATGAGGCTAGAATATATCATAAATAAAAATATTAAGGAAGCTTTTTATAAGCTGATAAAATCAGACCCAAACAACTTGATAAGTCTGATAACACCTACAAGAAAAACACTTTGATGCTTAAATCAGGATAGTATTTAAATAGGT